GTCCTCGCCCCATGTTTTATTGTTGTTATTGTTTATGACATTGACCTTTTAAAGAGCCTGGCCAGTTGTCTCACAGACTGTCCTACGTTCTGGATTTGTCTGATTGTTTCCCTTCACTATGATTAGATTCAGGTTAAAAATTTTTGACAAAAAACTACATAGATGATGTTATATACATCTGCTATATGTGCTTATGTGATCAGGAGGCACATAAGGTCAAGTTTTAATACAGATGATGATGCTAAATTTGATTGTTTGGTACAGGTGGAAATCACCTAATCACTCCATTTGTAAAGGTACATTTTTCCCTTTGTAATTAGTAAATAATCTGTGGGGTATTTTTTTTCCACTGATTTATTTATTCTTGGCATGTCTAAATGGTCTAGATTCTGGGATGATATTGTGCGACTATAGAGCTATCTGTTCCCCAAAGACATTTCACCCAACCCTTGCTTAAATCAATTATGACACTGGGGATGGAAAACAGGGGACTTACTAATTTTATCATGCCTTCTATACTTATTATCTGGAAACCTTCCATAAAGACTTTCTCCTGGGGCCGCCCTGGTGGTGCAAGCAGTTAAATGCGCACGCTCCGCTGCGGCGGCCCGGGGTTCACTGGTTCAGATCCCAGGCACGCACCGACACACTGCTCGTAGAGCCATGCTGTGGCAGCGTCCCATATAAAGTGGAGGAAGATGGGCACGGATATTAGCCCAGGGCCAATCTTCCTCAGCAAAAAGAGGAGGATTAGCATCAGATGTTAGCTCAGTGCTGATCTTCCTCACAAAAAAAAAAAAAAAAAGACTTTCTCCTGTGCCTCTCCTTTATTTGAATAGCACAAGGATTGATTTTTTTTTTAATTCAATGTAATACGATCCATTATGTTCATTATACAATCATTATGTTCATTTTTGATGCTCAAATTGTCCCAAATTTGGCCTGTGGGAAACCTTCAAGCTTGTTCTTATATCCTTCTAACCTGTCTCCATCAGTCACTGAGGACCTACTTGCTCAACAAGATGTTCCAGGTCCATCTGTCACTCTCCCTTCCTGAACCATGGAATTAACCATTTTTCCAAGGAGCCGATGTTCCTTTTAGTGGGGAATGATATGTAGAAAACAAGATCTGAGTGCTTACTACATTTGTTTCTAGGTCTACGGCATAATAAAAAAATATATCTAGTCTTTGTCCCCAGTTCCTGGCACAGAGCTTCAAAAACCTCAGCATTTCCTAAGTGATAGAAATGTCTTTGTTATGCTAATGAGGTGACACATAGGGGCCTCTAGGTAGCTTCAGGATGGGGGCTTGTCACCAGAAAGATCAACCACATAATGCAACTCTGGGCCAGTTGGGTCTCCAGGGAGGTGAGAGCGGAAGGGAGGTTAGCTGGAGATGGAGTTCAATCACATGGCCAATGATCTAATCAATCATGCCAACATCATAATGAAGCCTCAATAAAAACTGTGGATGCTAAAGCTTAGTAGATCTTCAGAGGTGGTGAACACATTGATGTGGTGGGAAGGTAATGTGTCCAGATTCCACATGGAGAGGGCACAAAATCTCTGGGTCTCTTCCCTAGCCCTCCAATCCCAGACCTAGCTCTATGCCTCCTTTCCATTTGGTTGTTTCAAATTTGTATCCTTTATAATAAAACTGTAATCATACATACGGTGCTTTCAGTGAGTTCTGATTCTAGCAAATTATCAAACTTGAGGGGGTCCTGAGAACTCCCATATTTATAACTAGTTGATCAGAAGTGCAGGTGGCCCCAAGACTTACAGCTGCCACCTGAAGCAGGGGTAGTCTTGGGCAGGAATATGCCCTAAACCTGTGGAGGGTGATGCTAACTCCAGGTAGTGTCAGAAGTGAATTGAACTGCAGGTCATTTGAACTGAACTGGGTATTAGTTGTTGTCAGAAGATGAAAGGTCCTTTCCCTGAACACAGCTACAAAACAGTTTATACACACACACACTTAAATTATAAATTTGCAAATACGACATGACAATAAATATATATATTTTTTAATCTTAAGTTCATATCAGCCTCCAAATCAAATCCAACACCACCTGGAAATCATATTAATGCAAATGGATCCACCTTACTTTTCACAGTTGCACAACAATATTACATTATGTGGACATGTGCTTTTTTCAACCAGTATCCAACAGTTGTTTGCTATATATGCTGCAAGGCATAACCTTGGACAGATGCTGTTTTGTATTTGTAACAGTGTATCTTCAAGGCAAATTCACATAAGGGGGCCTGCTGGATCATGGGTAAACGCATGTGATTTTGGTCACCACTGCCAAAACCCCTCCATAGGAGTTATACCATTCTGGACTCCCATCAGCAAGGTGTGAGTGCCTGTTTCCCCAGAGTCTCACCAATTGTGTGTGCTGTCTAATTTTTGAATTTTTGCTGTTTAGATAGGTGAGAAATGTATGTTGGTGTAGTTTTAATTTGCATATCTTTTATTATAAGTGAATTTGAGTGCTTTTCCATATGTTTAAAATCTATTTGTACTGCTTTTTCTGAGACTCACCTATTCAAATTTTGCCCATTTTTTCTTTTAGGGTTTAGGTCTTTTTTTTTTCTTTCAAGAGTAGAAAAATTAACCCCTTCTTTATGATATAAGGGGCACATATTTTTCCTCACTTTATCATTTGTCTTTTGATTTTGCTTACAACCATGTAAATCTTTTTTAAAAAATCACTGATAAATTTAATCTTTTATTGCTTTTAGATTTTGAATCATATAGACAACCTTTCTCCAAGTTATAAAATAATGCATCTAACTCTATTATATTTATATGTTTTTTCAACATTTAGATCTCTGACCCAGTTGAAGTTTATTCTCATGTACGTATGAGGTACGGAGCCAATTTTATCTTTCCATAAGTAGCTAGCCAGTTGTCAACATCACTTATCTTAAAAGTATATTTTCCTGGGCCAGCCCCCGTGGCTTAGTGGTTAAGCTCGGTGCACTCCACTTCAGCAGCCTGGGTTCGATTCCCAGGCACAGACCTACACTGCTTGTCTGTCAGTGGCCATGCTGTGGTGGCAGCTCACATACGAAAAAAGGAAGACTGGCAACAGATGTTAGCTCAGAGCGAATCTTCCTCAGCATTAAAAAAAAAAAAAAAAAGTATATTTCCCCCCTGGGGAAAGAGATGCCACCTTTACCATAGATGAAATTCCCATATATTTTTGGGTCTATTCCTGAAATTTTATTCTGCTGCACCAAGCAGGAACTAGTACCACAGTTGGGGCTAGTCTTTCTCATTATTACTTTTGCCAAAGTTTTCCTAACTGTTCTTGCACGTTTATTTTTCCACATGAATCAACCAGTCTAGCTCCAGAAAAAGAAAAATATTACTGGAATTTTTAATGGGACTGCATCAAATTTATGTATTAAACGTAAAATCACTGATATCTTTACAATAGTGAGTCACCATATCTAAAAACGAGAGGTGTCTTTCCATTTGTTCAAGGCACTTGTATATCTTTCAGGAATGTTTTAAAGTTCTCCTCACATAGATTTAGGATATTTCTTTTTAAATTTATTCCTATGTACTTCTTTATCTCTTATGTGGCTGTTGTAAATAGCGTCTTCTCTTCTACTACAGCTTCTAACTGGTTATTGTTTGGAAATATAAAGGCTATTGACTTTTAATCTTATTATATCCTGCTACCTTACTGAATTGTTTCATTTGAGTTTCTGTTAATTTTATCATTGATTTTCCTGGATTTTTCCATAGTTTTACTTCTTTCGTTTCTAAGACTGTACGCAATTGATACATTTTTAGTTTAGGATATTCTCATTTCCCAAAACTCACACATAAGTTAAGACTATATATTATATTTTTATATTATGGTATATAGTATTTCAATTTTAGATCATTGAAATCTGCATAAAATCCTACTGCACTGTACATTCTCACATTCATCTAGTCAGTAAGACAATGACAACCCAGACTAACATTTCCTATATTCCCAGGGCCTCCACCTGTAACAGCTAGATCTTAAGTTTGCATGAGGGAAGCCACCTTAGAGAAAGGAAGCAATATTGTAACTATGACCCTGACTCATTAGTCTCTGAGAATGCACTCTAGCCTGCACATAGCCTAGATGATTAAGTACCTCTCACTTTTGCAAAATACATGATCTGCTAGTTCTATGACTCTTGCTTACATATATCTCCCATCTGTGATAAGATAACTTTCTTCTCTGAGTTCCCCAGGAACATGATGACCTCCAGAAAGAAAAACTCTGCGTTGGTACCCATCACAAATGACAGAAGAAAAAGATTATGAGGCACCTTGAAGTTCGTCACACCAGATGATGAACACCCCAAACCCCCTCCTTCCCTGCCCATTTCCCCTATATAACTGCCTCAAGATTCTCTATGACTTTAATATGGTTCTTTAGGACACTAGTCTACCATCTTCTGATTATGCTAGCTAATCATATAAACTTTCCTTTCTCAACCACCAGCTTGTTTGCAATTGACTGGCACTGGATTGTGGAGAGCAGAACAAGCCCCTTTTCACTAGGTTACACACCCACACTGACCTCAACACCTATAGACCAAGCTGCGATCCCTAAGCCCAACACCACTCAGTCTGTACGACAGGGAAGCAACTTTACATGAGAGTTCCAACTGGAACCTCAACACTAGTCAATCTTATCATGATGTTCATGCTGCCATCTTCAGCCACAACACTGCATGAAGTCCCTCTAACCATCTACCCTTTCCTCAGTTCTTGTCCTAAAATCTTGTGCCTATCCTACCATGAGCTCATTTTCACAGGGCTGAGAGGGAAGATTTTCACAAAGCTCATGTAAAAATTGCAAAAAGATATAAAACTCTCAAGATAGGAGGCAAAGAAACAAAACTATCTAATTATGAGGTCAGATGGATTACACACCAATACAGAATTCTAGATGTTAACCAACTGTAGGATCCAAGTTCACTATTTCCCAAAATCACAGTACCTTTTCTTTCTTCACATGATTCATAATTTTGCCGAGGTCCTCAACATCAATGACAGAATTTAGACTCTGATGGTCCTCAGTATCAGACTCTTCCTCACTGGTGCTCTCAAGGGGCTCCTCCTCCTGGAACATCAATGCTTCAGAAATACATTGTCCAAAATAGTAAACCACCTAATACTCCCTCCCAAATTATGAGTTTACTGGAGGGATTTGAGATATTCTAGGCTAGAGGTCAGCAAACCACGGCCCACAGGCCAAATCCAGCCAGCTTCAAGCCAAATCTAAGGGAGACCATCATTTGCACATTATCTATGGCTACTTTCTTGATACGTGGCAGAACTGACAGCTGAAACAGAAACCATATGGCCCACAAAATAGCTGAAAATATTTACTAGCTGGCCCTGTAGAGAAAAAGTTTCCTGACCTCTGTTTTAGACAAAGAATGAACCAGACTTAAGTGAGGAAGTAAATGCAGGAATGAGGAAGTAAATGCAGGAATGAGGAAAAAGAAGGAATCAAGCAGCACTCTTAGATTTCTTTTTTAAGTAACTGAGATGGTGGTGGCATTTACTAAGATGAGAAAGACTTGGGGAGAAACAGACTTAGAGAGGGGAAATGAGGAGCTCCATTTTGAATTTGTGAAGCATGAAATGCCTTAGACACCCAAGTAGAGATTTTAAAGAGACAGTTGCCTATATGAGAACAAAATTCAGGGTAGACCACTGAGCTGGAAATACAAACCTGGAATAACTGGCATATAGACAGTATTTAAAGCCATGAACCTAGATAAGATCATCCAGGAAGAAAGTATCAACAAAGAAAAGAACCAAGCACCAAGCCTTGAATCACTCCAACGTGTAGAGGTTAGATAAAGGAAGAAGATCCAAGTAAAAAAGGAAGAAAACCATGAGAATGATGTCATGAAAGTCAAGACAAGAGAGTTACTCAAAGGAGTCGGCAATATCAAATGCTGCTGAGAGGTCAAGTAAAATGAAGACAGAGATATCCACAGGGCTTGACAACATGAAGTCCCTTGGACCTAGAAATGAGCGGCCTCAGTGGGATAGAGAGCCAAACTAGAGTGGCTGAGAGTAACTGGGACTTCTGCTCCCAGCTGTAGGGTGGATTACATTGAACAACTCTCCTGTAGAAAATAACTAAAAGTGAATAATATAATATTTTAAAACCATAATTTTAAATGTATCACTGAGTTGGCAAAAATGTAAGGAATCCAAAGAGGACAACTATGAACTAAAAAGGAAATCCTAGGAGGTAAGTCAGAAATGGAGCTGAGAGTATCTGCTGAACTCTGGAGAACCTATTTTGACAGCTAGACAGGACAAAGTAAGAGCAGGTAAAGTCAAGGAAATGATACTAGTAGGAAAGCCTAAAACAGAAGACCAGAGTCAAAGCTGGGAACCCACAAGGTTGCATTCTTGGTATAAAGGTAAACTAGAAATAAACATCCAATGGAAGAGGAGAAAGCAAGAAAGACAGGCAGAGAATTTGGGAGGAAGAACTGAGCAAAGGACAGATGGCTAGAGGGATTTTATTTGGAAGTTCTAAGGTTTCTGGGAGGGGTGGAGGAGGATTATACAATAAAAATTCAGAACCAAATTAAACTAGGATTCCCAAAAGCAACACTTTAACTAGAAGACAATGGATCAATGTGTTCAATTTTCTGAAAGAAAACTACTCCAATCTAGAATTTTGTACTCAGCCAAAGCATCAATAAACTGTGAAGGAAGGATAAAAACATGCAGATATGAAAAGTCTGAAAATTTATTTCCAAAACACTCTTTCTCAAAGAGCTACTGGAGAATGTGCTCCAAAACACAAGAGTCAAACAAGAAATAAGAAGATATGAGATTCTGGAATCAGGGAATCCAACCCAGGAAGCTAGTGAAAGGAAGGCTGTGCATCACAGTGGATTGAAGACACAGGATTTCAGCTGCATAAAGGCTTGGAGAGCAGCCACGTCAATGTGGAGCAGAAGAAGAGGACTCACAAGAAGCCTCCAAGAAATCAATAAAAGCTACAAAACACTGAAAAACAATTTTCAGTTCTGTTCGAGTTTTGGAATGAATCAGTGATATAGAGAAATCAATGCAGATGTAGTAATTATCTTAGAAGAAATAAATATATAAAAATGAAAATGTAATAATATAGTATATAAGACAGGTGTGAATATGTAGTCACAATAATGAAACAATGAATAACCATCTAACCAGAAAGTATGATACAACTATACAAGAAAATGAAAGGAAGGGAAGTGATATTGTCTCTCTCTCTTTCTCTCTCTCAATCTGCACGCGTGTGTGGTTTTGAAATTTTAAAAAAAAGCAAGAAATAGCAGGAAGGGCCTATTATTTAGGAATACAGAGGTAAATGTCTGATAAAAATGGTAAAAGAGGGGCCGGCCCAGTGGCACAGAGGTTAAGTGCGCGCGCTCCGCCTCGGTGGCCCGAGGTTCAAAGGTTTGGATCCCAGGCGCACACCGAGGCACCGCTTGTCAGGCCATGCTGTGGTGGCATCCCATATAAAGCAGAGGAAGATGGGCACAGATGTTAGCCCAGGGCCAATCTTCCTCACTAAAAAGAGGAGGATTGGCATTGGATATTAGCTCAGGGCTAGTCTTCCTCACCAAAAAAAAAAAGGTAAAAGATTTAAAAGTGGTTGCCTTGGGAAAATAAGAATTAGATAGAATGAGGCAAGGAAGTACAGTTTTTAGTTATAAACCTACAAGTACTATTTGAGGTTTAAAATGTACAAGTGCTACTTTTGGTTTAAACAAATTTTTTTAACTTAAATTTTTAAAATATTAAGAACTAAGAGTGATAGCAAAACTAGCACAGTAGGTAACTCCAAGGGCCTGTCCCCCTACAGAAACACCTAAAAATTAAACAAAAACCAACAGATTCAACTTTGTCAGAACTCTGGGAATTAGTCAATGATTTACAAGAATCAAGTAAAAAACTCTGAATCAAGAAAAAGGAAAGCTAAAAATGGCATTCAAGGAAATTTGTCAAAACACTAGCTGGGCACAAGCTAAAGAAACAGGCTTCAGAGACCACACACAACAACAGAAACAGTCTTTACAAAAAAAAAGTTTTAAAAGGTTACTAAATAAATAAATAATTACAACCCAGAGCAAACTACAAAAATAAACCCTGAAGAGGGGAAAGAATGTGATTTCCAGAGTTAACACATTATAATATTCAAAACATGCATTTTTCAACAAAACATTATGAAGCATGCAAAGAAACTCAAAGGTATGGCCTATTCACAGGAGAAATTAACAGACACGGTCCCTGAGGAAACACAGATGTTGATCTCACAAGATAAAGACCTTAAGTCAACTGTCTTAAACATGCTCAAAGAACTAAAGGAAACCAGGAACAAAGTGCTGAAGGAAACCAGGAGAACAATATCTCAACAAATAGAGAATACTAACACAGAGATAGAAATTACAAAAAGGAAACACCAAGAAATTCTTAAGCTGAAAAGTATAATAACTAAACTAAAAATTTCACTAGAGGGTTTCAATAGCAGATTTGATCAGGCAAAAGAATCCACAAACATGAAGACAGACTGGTTGAAATTGTCCACCCTGAGAAATGAACAGATCCTAAGAGGACATCCTCAAGCATACCAACATGCACAAAAGGGGAGTTCCAGAAGGAGAGGAAAGAAAGAGCAAAAAGAGTATTTGAAGAAATAATGGCTGAAAACTTCCCAAATTTGATAAAAGACGTGAATCTACACATCCAAGAAGCTCAATGAACTTCAAGAAGCATAAACTCAAAGAGAACCAAACTGAGACACACTATATTCAAACTCTCAAGACAATAACAAGGAGAGAATCTTGAAACCAGCAAGAGAGAAGCCATTCTTCACATACAAGGGAGCTTCAATAAGATTAACAGCTGATTTCTCATCAGGAACCTAAGAGGCCAGAAGGCAGTGGAATGACATATTTAAACCACTGAAAGAAAAAAACCATCAAGCAAGAATTCCATATCCAGCAAAGTGATCCTTCAAAATTGAAGGAGAAATGGAGACAGTCAGAGATAAGCAAAAACCGAGGAGTTCATTACCAGCAGACCTGCTCTGCAAGAAATGCTAAAAAGAGTCCTCCAGGCAGAAATGAAAAGGACATTTGACAGTGACTCAAAGCTATACAAAGAAATAAAGAACATGGGTAAAGGTTAACTACAAAAGTAAACATAAAAGCCTATATTACTGTATTTTTGGTGTGTAACTCCTTTTTTTTCCTATATGATTTAAAAGACAAATGTACAAAACAATTAACTATAAATAAACTATAATGAGCACTCAATGTATAAAGCTGTAATTTGTGACAAGAACAACAGAGAGAGGAAGGGACAGAGCTGAATAGGAGCAGAGTTTTTGTATGTCAAGGTAACAATAATTCAAATAGAGTGGTATAAATTAAAGAGATTAACAGCAATCCCCAGGTACAAAAAATAACTACAAAATGTACAGAAACAGAAATGAGAAAAGAATCAAAATGGTACACCACAAGGAAATCCATCAACCTCAAAAGAAGGCATTAATTTAGGGAGGAGAAATTCAGGAACAAAAAGATGTAACATATATAAACTGCATAATGAGAGAAGTGCTTCCTCATCAGTAATTACTTTAAATGAAAATGGATTAAACTCTCCAATTAAAAGGTAGAGACAGGTAGAATGAATTGAAAAAAACAGGACCCAACTCTATGATGTCTACAAGACACTCACTTTAGATCCAAAGATACAAACAGATTGAAAGTCAAAAGACAGAAAAAGATATTCCATGCAAATGGTAACCAAAAGAGAGCTGTAGCTCTACTAGCTACAGCAACAGCTAAAGCTATACCAACAGCCGATAAAACAGACTAATATGTCAAAAATTGTTACAGTAGACAAAGGACATATATTAATCCATCAATAAGATATAGGGGCCAGCCGGGTGGCATAGCAGTTAAGTGCGCGAGGTCCACTACGACGGCCCAGGGTTCGGATCCCAGGTGTGCACCGACGCACCACTTGTCAAGCCGTGCTGTGGCGGCATCCCATATAAAGTGGAGGAAGATGGGCACGGATGTTAGCCCAGGGCCAGTCTTCCTCAGCAAAAAGAGGAGGATTTGCAACAGATGTTAGCTCAGGGCTGATCTTCCTCACAATAAAAAAAAAAAAAAGAAGACATAGCAATTATAAACATAAAGCACGTAACAGAACCCAAAACATATGAAGCAAAAAACTGACAGAACTGAAGTGAGAAAAAGACAGTTCTACAATAATAGTGGGAAACTTCAATACCCCACTTGCAATAATGGATAGAACAATGGATAGAAGATCAATAAGGAAATAGAGGGCTGAGACAACGCTATAAAACAATTAGACCTAACAGACAGATACAGAACATTCCACCCAAAAACAGGAGAATGTACATTTTTCTCAAACGTACATGGAACATTCTCCAGGACAGATGGTACGTTAGGCCACAAAACAAGTCTCAATAAATTTTAAAAGATTAAAATCATCCAAAGTATCTTCTCTGACCACTGTGGAATTCAATAGCATCTAAAGGGGGTCAGCCCCGTGGCTTAGCGGTTAAGTGCGTGCGCTCCGCTGCTAGCGGCCCGGGTTCGGATCCCGGGCGTGCACCGACGCACCGCTTCTCCGGCCATGCTGAGGCCGCGTCCCACATACAGCAACTAGAAGGATGTGCAGCTATGACATACAACTATCTACTGGGGCTTTGGGGAAAAAGAAATAAATAAATAAAATTATAAAAATAAAAAAATAGCATCTAAAGGAACAAAATACCCAAGAAAAAATTTAACCAAGGAGGTGAAATACTTGTACACTGAAAACCCAAAATATTGCTGAAAGAAATTAAAGATGACCGAAATAAATGGAAAGACTTCCCACGTTCATAGATTGAAATACTTAATATTACTAAGATGACAATACTACCCAAAGCAATCTATAGACTCAAGGCACTCTCTACCAAAATTCCAACAATGTTTTTTGCAGAAACGGAAAAACCAATCCTCAAATTCATATTGAATTCCAAGAGACACCAAATAGCCAAAACAATATTGAAAAAGAAGAACGAACTTGGAGGACTCAGTTTCTGACTTCAAAACTTAACTACAAAGCTTCAGTGTAGTACTGGCATTAGATTAGATATACAGATCAATGGAATAGAATTGAGAGTTCAGAAATAAACCCTCACATCTATGGACAATGGACTTCTGACAAGGATGCTAAGTTCATTCAATGGAGAAAGAATACCCTCCTGAACAAATGCTGCTGAGACAACTGGATATACACATGCCAAAGAATTAAATTGGACCCTTACACTTCACACCATATATAAAAATTAACTCAAAATGGATCAAAAACTTAAATATAAGAAACTAAAACTATAAAATTCTTAGAAGAAAACATAGGAGTAAATCTTTTTTACCTCGGATTTGGCAATGGAATCATATAAGACCCCAATAGCGTGAGCAACAAAAGAAAATATAGGTAAGTTGGACTTCACAGAAATTGAAAACTTTAGTGTATCAAAAGACACGATCAAGAAAGTGAAAAGAAAACCTACATGGGGGTAAATATTTGCAAATTATATATTTGAGAAGGGTCTACTATCTAGGATATAATAAACAACTCTTACCACTCAACAACAAAAAGAGAAACAACCTAATTTAAAAAAATGGGCAAAGGACTTGAATAGACATTTCTCCAAAGAAGATACACGAATGGCAATAAACAGATGAAAAGATGCTCAATGTCATTAGTCAATAGAGGGAAACGCAACTCAAAACCACAAGAAGACACCACACTCACTAGGATGGCTATAACCAAAAAAACAGAAAATAAGAAGTGTTGGTGAGGATGAGGAGAAATTGGAACCCTGTACATTGCTAGTGGGAATGTAAAATGGTGCAGCCACTGTGAAAAACAGTTTGATGGTTCCTCAAAAAGTTAAATACAGAATTACCATATAACCCAGCAATTTAATTTACTCCCAGGTATATACCAAAAAAAATTGAAAACACTTGCTCAAACAAATACTTGTACCTGAATGTCACAGCAGCACTAATCACAATACCCGAAAGGTGGAAACAATCAAAATGTCCATTAGTAGATAGATAAATCATCAAAATGTGGTCTATCTATACAATGGAATATTATTCAGCCATAAAAAGGAATGAAGTACTGATACATGCTTACCACATGGATGAACCTCGAAAACATTATGCTAAATGACAGAAGGCAGACACAAAAGATCACATATTGTATGATTCCATTTATACAGAATATCCAAAATAAGTAAATCCATAGAGACAGAAAGCAAATTGGAGGTTGTCAGGGGTGGGGGGAAAGGGAATAAAGAGTGACTGCTTAATGGGTAAGGGGTTTTCTTTTGAGGCAATTAAAAGCTATTGGAACTGGACATAGATAGTGGTTGCAAAAAATTGTGAGTGTGCTAAATACCAATGGATTGTATACTTTAAAATGGTTAATTTTATGTCCTGTGAATTTTACTTCAATTTAAGAAAAAGTTTTAAAAAATCTGGAGCCAACTGGAGGGAAGATAAGCAAATGTAAGCAAAAAGGTTAGCTAGAAAAGAGAACAGAAAAATGAAACAGCAGCTGAAAGATATAGAACAAAGGAAAGATTTATTTTTTATTTGCTTTTTGTGTTTGTTTAAACACAGGTGATTCCAGATCATGTTTCTGTATCTATGGGAACAATCTAGTAGAGAGGGAGAGATTAATAATGCAGGAGAGAGAGATGCAATAAACAAAGGAACAAAGTCCCTGACTCCAAAGTATGCCTATTGTGGTCTTTTGACATGAACCAGACACCTGGTCTTCTGTGACAGAAAAGATGATGAAGATTTGTAGATAGGGTTGGGGGACTAAGAGAGTTCTCCTCTGAGAGCTAGAGGAAGGGGTAGGGAGAAAAAGAATACAAAACAGTCATCTTGGAGAGTGAGACAGAAAATTTATGAGAGAATGTTGGAGATTGTTGGGCAGGTCTGAGGGCATGCTTGAGCCGGTGGTCATGCATCTGTGGTCAAACAGCAAGCAGCAGGCAACAGATAAGGCAGATAGCAGGTTTCACCCTCGCTTGGGTTTTAGCCAATTGAGTTAGAAAGGAAGTGGAAGGCAGAGCGATTGAAGATGTTTATAAAAGAATGAGTATAAAATCTAAACTGGGTAAGAACAGAAGAGAAGTAAGCAGTTTTCACTATCCAATGAAAAAGATACGGGATCGAAAGAATTTCAAAGTAGGAGCACTAGACAGAGGTCAAGGTTTGGGTCATAGGAACATGAAATTTCAGAGGTGACTATGGAAGGGAGAGGTCAAGGTCAGGGAAAAAAATGGTTGCTGGAGGTTCGAAGGCCAGGAGACTGGCAGGCCAGGGTGCTGGATAAATCATCTACATGGATGACCTAGCCACAAAGAGTAATGACAAGACCAAGAATAGAGAGAAAGACAGTGAGTCAGAAGATAAAGTTGTTCCTGAATGACGCAAGTGACCATGTGGCCAAAAGCCAACAGCTGTGAAGATGGCAGCAGTGATACAGCCTGATGACATGAGTTTCAAAGGAACTGGGGTATCTGAAGAAGGAAGAAAAAGAAATGGTTAGAATGTGAGGGATGAAAGAGATGAATCCAGGATGACCTGTAGCCTTCAAGTTTGAGTCATTAACGGAGTCATTAAAGAAGATAGGTCAGGAAGATATGTGGTTTGGGGATAAAAGGATAGGAGCTCAGCCTGGGACATATTTAACTTCTCAGGGCCTCTGTTTCCTAACCTGCAAACTGTGGTAGAAATCTATGCGACTCTAGCAATGCAATGATTAAAGAAGAGATATAGGAAAGCATCCAGCACAACATGGCTTAACTCCTGAGGCTGTCCTCTCTCTAAAACACTACCACACGAATTTCACATCTCCCTTCTATGCAGAAGCCAATGAGTCTCTCAGGGCAGAAGTAAGAGTCAGCATCTCCAAACACAAGAGGAAAGCAGCAAGACATGGACACACAGGCTACACACCTCGGTGTCTCTCTGATGCAATCTGTCTTGAGTGTGAGACTCTGCCTCCATCTCCTCTGAGCTGTGCTGATTAGATTTGCATCTGCCTTTCTTGCAGTTGCCACCACAGGATTTTTTCTCTCCTTTAGAAAGTGCCTGTAGCCTCGAGATGAACTTGGTCTTCCAAGCTCTGAAGTCGCCTTCAATGCTGCCATGTTTGCTTTTAACCACATCACAGTCGCCCTCCCCTCGAGTCATCAGGCGGTGAGCACCGAGCATCCAGAGCCACTTATCAACATTCTTGCCAACCTGCAAGAAAGAGAGATAGATGAGCTAAAAACACAATCCTCTAAATCAGAGGTTTACAGACCGTTCTGCGAAAGCCCAAAGTTCCTCTGGGGCCCTGTCACAGACTGCTGCTGAGGAAGAGGAAACTGCTCAGCACAAAGGGCTTCGAGCCTTTGGCCCAGCCTTGACCCAGAAGAGCTGCAGTTTATATATTCCAATTTTCTGTATAAAACTTTTTAAGCCAACGGACAGACAAACTCTTTTATTTTATTTTATTTATTTATTTATTTTTTTTTTTTAATTTTTATTTATTTTCCCCCAAAGCACCAGTAGATAGTTGTATGTCGTAGTTGCACAGCCTTCTAGTTGCTGTATGTGGGACGCGGCCTCAGCATGGCCGGAGAAGCGGTGCGTCGGTGCGTGCCTGGGATCCGAACCCAGGCCGCCAGCAGCGGAGCACGTGCACTTAACCACTAAGTCATGGCGCCGGCCCCAAACTCTTTTATTAAACTAAGTATTAATACCTAAAAAAGAATTTGAAAACTACTATTCTAAATCATGGTCAGAATAAAATAACTCAGTAGCAAAATAAATTTGTTCCAAAACGTAACAAAGCCTATGGGGCCAAAGCCCATTTAACAACAAAGCACAAATGGAGCCCATCTGGCAAGACTCTTGATTTCATAAAGTCAAAAATTAATCTTACTGCATTATGAAGCAGTTAAGCTGAGGCACAGTGGTTATCAAGAAGCACAGTTAAGAATTCAGGGCCGGCCCCATGGCTTAGCGGTTAAGTGCGCGCGCTCCGCTACTGGTGGCCCAGGTTCGGATCCTGGGCGCGCACCGACACACCGCTTATCCCGTCATGCTGAGGCCGCGTCCCACATACAGCAACTAGAAGGATGTGCACCTATGACATACAACTATCGACTGGGGGTTTGGGGGAAAAATAAATAAATAAAAATTAAAAAAAAAAAAAAAAGAATTCAAAAACTCATCAGGGTTCCTGAGCGGCCAGGCCTTAAACAAAATATTTAGATATGTGAATTTTATCATTTTTTGTCTAATTCCTCTGAAAATATGGGGGGAAATATACATTTTGATATAACAATTGAATGAAAACAAATTTAAAGAAAGAGCTCCACTTTCACCTATACTCACATTCTGCCGAAGACAGGTGAGCCAGGCTGGGCACATAACTGGGGAGACGGACACAAACAAAAGTTCTAGTAACGTTCTAGAACCACTAAGAAACTGAGAGGCTCCGTATTATTATTTTTTAAAGTATAGAGAACAGAATGCAAAAGAAAAGGATTAAATTAATTAAAATTAAATTTAATTTAAAAGTTTTAAATTAATTTTTATAAAATTAAATTTAATTATAAATTAAATTAAAAAATTAATTCCATTTAGAAAAAAAGATCCAGGAAAACAAAACAATTAATGTTTTATTACATAAAGGGCAGTGAATATTTTTCCTCTATTTTCCATTAGAAATTAATGATTAAAAGACAATGAGTTCAACTGTATTAAGTGTTAGCTTGGGCAGTGAAGGTTGTTCAATAACAGAAGAGGCAATTGAGAAAGTCCAAAGAATAAGTGATTTTCCATCCATAAGGTCCTGCTTGGGGACAAGAGGCTGGAGTTGATGGCAATGAGTGAAGGCCGCTAAGACACTAGACAATAGGAGGCATATTCATTCATTTGATTCAATAAAAATTTACTGAAAGCCTACTATATACCAAGCTTGGAGATATACATGTAGCAATTCCCAGCTATAAAGAATAACACAAGAAGTTTATTATTAAATACCAAAGTTTGTGGATTATTTCACAAATGTGTGAATATTTTTTTAATTAAAAGAGAATTTAGCCCAATAATTCAACATATACCTACCTTGTACCTACCTTGTTGAAATGGCTCGCATAGGCAGAATTTCCCAGGCCAAACACCGCATATCTCATACCCTTCAGGTAAGTTTTGCCAAATCGAAAATCGATGGATGCTTCCTCTAACCATTTGCAGAACCACTCTGCACTCTCAGTTGGTCGACCATCAGTATATGTTGCAACCAGGAAGGCACAAACATTTTTACTAGTAACCTAATCAAGAAAATAATTATTTCAGAATATTCAATATATAAGTTATCTCAATGAAGAAAATCCTTTTTTAAAATGCTGACATTCATATCATACTAATCTCTAAGGACAAAGGGTGCTCTCAGAAACATTAGTCATTTTCAAAAGTGAAAGAAACACAGCACAGACACCCTGCACAGAGGAAAACGCCCAGTCCCTTGCTCCTGCCAACATGCCTCCTGGTGCCCTTCACCATATACTCCATTCCATTTCTCAGACTATAAATTCCTATCATCTCCAATTTGTCATACTGCAAACAAAATCCAAATCAGCCAGGAAAAATACAGAAAGATCTCTAAAAATTACCTGAAAAATTAAAGCAATAAAACTTTTTAAACATAAAGTAACTTAACACTTAGCACCATCATCTACATGGAGAAACAAAACACGTATTTAGTCCTGCTAGCCACAGTATTTCATCTGCTTGAACATAACAGTTCCAAGTCATGAGGTAAGTTATAAGCAATCCTTTACTAATAATTAAGTATCAAAGCTAGTAATTTTTCACAAATAATTTATAGTACATTTATAGCTCATTCATTTGCACTCCAATGTTTTCCTGGAGGAGAAAGAAATGGACAGTTACAGCTAGAAGTTTACCCACTAAGATGGGGCTGGCAAACGACAGCCCATAGACCCAACCCAGCTCACTGCCTATTTCTATAAATAAAGTTTTGTTGGAACACAGCCACACTCATTCATTTACACATTATCTATGGCTATTTTGTGCCTCAAAGGCAGAATTGAGTAGCTGCATAGCCCACAAAGCTGATGATATTTACTACCTGGCCCTTTACAGAAAAAGTTTGTCGACCCATGCCTTAAATGCTTCTCCAACTTTAGCTTCTTCAGAATCACCTGGAGCACTTGTTAAAATACAGTCCTATGTCCAGACTTTGATTCAGTGGGACTGGGCTAGGACTTGAGAATCTGCATTTCTAACAAGTTCCCAGGAGATGTTGGTACTGCTGGTTCAAGGAGCACACTTTGAGAACCACTGCTGTAAGGCAAACTTCCCTACCTGGGTATGACTAGAGGAGAGGCAGTCGCAGTTTTCAGGTGAAGAAATTAAAACTTCATAGACCTAAGCCATACATGGAGGTCACATAGCTAGTAAGAGACTTCTCTAACTCCAAAACTCACAGTCCTTCTGCTACTCAGTGGCTCCTGACCTTTCAGTAGGCTTCCACACGGTTCATATGCTCGGCACACTGCCATCAATAACAACTCTCCCTTGATTAGGAGATTCGAAGCAGGCAGAAGGAGGAACTTCACACCACCCAATCTTTCCCACCCTTACCCCCACTCCAAGAGAGCCTAACACACCATAGGGACAGGTCCCACACCACTTAAGACACTACTTTACAAATCAATGTACACACATTCAACACCTCTGATTGACACTGAAAACTCAACCAACTGAAATCCCTTAGTAAGAAAATAAAAATTTATTCTGAAGATTCTATTTATCCCAGAACATAAGAGGTCAATTAATTTGAGAGTTTTTATTGAAGGAAAAATAAGACAATTACCAACCTCTTCTACTAGATGATCATCTGGATCATATTCTTTCAGATTAATAATTGCGACAGGCAGACCTAGGGAGCTAACTGCTTCAGCAAGAATTGTTGCAAATCCCTAATAGGAAAAAAAATAAAGTCTTCAATAAGTTAAGTAACCAAAGTACAGTCTTCGTTTACCCCTGTTGGCAAGCGAATGAGGTATTTATCATAAAAAATATTCTGGTGACTGACATTTATCATTGTAAACACAAATACTACTCTCACTTCTACCATTTTCTCAAGCTTCTTTATAGAGATCAATCATTCAACCGTGTTGTTCTCACTCTATGGGTACATATATGGGACTAAATCTAAATTGGCTTTTTGACATTCCAGCTGCTTTGCCCCATTAAAATAAACATACAGACGTACAAAAAGAAATACTGAAGAGTGAATGGGAACTATAAGAAATGTTCACACATTTCTGGAAGATAGAAAGCAAATGAGAACAAGTTGACAGGAGAAAGGCTTATGGGAGAGTTCATATGCCTGACAGAACCCCGAGAGGCTCTGGCGGAGAGTCAACCCCTACAGCAGAAATGGGAGGGAATTTCGGGGCAGAGGAGAGCCAATCAATAGACAATTTGTATACGGGGCAGTGCACACAAAGCCTATGCAACATTTACTCTTTACCCCTAGCCACAGCACCTGCCAGCTCTTCTCCAAACAAAATGACCAAATGTTTGGGGAAAGCTAAAACTTCTAGCCAGATGTCAGCACCCCAGGAAAATGCCTTCCTCTTTTTCACTCAGTAGTCTAACACCTGGCTCCCTACCTGCCAGGACTAAAGCTAAGCCTGCCAAGCATCTATTCCTTTACTGGTTATCTACCATGCCAGACCCAGTTCTGGACAATATTATACAACACTGAACAAGACACACATTGTTCCTGCCCTCAAGGAGCTTATGTTCTAATGGACAGAGAGAAAATAAACATAGAAATGAGAAAATACACAGGCTATCAGATGAGGATTAGTGCTAAAGAGGAAAATAAATCAGGATAAGGGATAAGAATATAGTATTGGAGGTATGGGGAGAGTTGTTATTTCACATAGGGAGGGTCAGGGCAGGTGTGTATAATAAAAAATAAATATTCAGAGGAGGATGGGCACGGATGTTAGCCCAGGGCCAGTCTTCCTCAGCAAAGAAAGAGGAGGATTGGCAGATGTTAGCACAGGGCTGATCTCCTCACAAAAAAAATTAAAAAAATAAAAATAAATGAATAAATATTCAGTCTTTGTCCCCAGCTCCTGGCACAAAGCTTAAAACCCTTGGAACTTACTGTCTTTGGTACATAAATGAGATGACTCATTGAAAAAAACCCTTGGAACTTACTGTCTTTGGTACATAAATGAGATGACTCATGGAGGAAGAAGGGGGCTCCACTTAGCTTCAGGATTGGGGCTGGTCACAGGAAAACCAACCCTTGGATTCTAGGTTTAAAACTTTGAGCACCCTCTGCCCCTGTGGGAGGGGAAAGGGGCTGGAGATTGAGATCAATCAAACATGGCTAATGATTTAATTAATCATGCCCATGTAATGAAACCTCCATAAAACCCCTAAATGACAGGGGTTGGTGAACACACTGATATGTTGAGGAGGCAGCATGCCCAGATAGAGCATGGAAGCTCTGTGCCACCCCTTCCGCCCAAACCTTGCCCTGTGCACATCTTCCATTTGTCTGCTTCTGAGCTGTATCCTTTATAATACACCAGTAAACATAGGCAAAGCAATTTCCTGAGTTCTGTGAGTCATTCTAGGGAATTACTGAACCTAAGAAGGGGATTGTGAGAGCCCTCCAACTGACAGCTTGATCAGTCAGAAGTAGGGGTGGCCCCTGGGACCTGTGACTGGCATCTGAAGTAGGGAGAGTCTTGTGGACTGAGCCCTTAAACCTGTGGAGTCTGAGGATAACTCTGGGGAGTCAGTGTCAGAATTGGAGAATTGGTGTGGAAAAACAACAAATATTTGGTGTCACAAAACACTCAAACAGGTCTCAAAGATAAAAACTTAAGCCAAACCTGAAGGAAATGAGAGAGCAAGCCATAAAGCTATCCCAAGCAGAGGGAACGTTAAGTGAAAAGGCCCAAAGGAGGGAGCAGGCTTGGCAAGGAAGTTAATTAGATTGGAGAAGTGGGGACCAAGACACGAGGTAAGAGAGAGTATGGAGAACCAGATGTGAGAGCCCGTTGGCCACTTCGAGGACTCTGGCATTTACTCGTAGTGAATGAGGGACTCGTTGCTGGGTTTTAAGATGAGGGGAACATGATTTCACTTAAGTTTTCAGAGTCACTGCAGTTGCTGAGTTGAGAGTGCACTGAAGTCGGGGGAGGGGCTGAGCAGTACGTAATGAAGGAGACCAACATGAGATGACTGCAGTAATCTAGACAAAACACAAGGGTGGCTTGGACCAGGGCAGTAGCAGTGAGGGTGGTGAGAAGTGACTGGAATCTGGGTCTATTTTGAAAGTAGAACAAACGAGATTTGCTGACAGATTGGATGTGGGTTGTAAGAAAAAGAGATAAGTCAAAGGTATTTTGAACTAGGCAAGTGAAAGGATGAAGTGTCATTTACTGAAATGGTAAAGATTATAAGTGGAACAGGTTTGGGCAGAAAACTGGAAGTTCAGTTTTGAACACATTAATTTTGAGATGCCTACTGGACATCCACATGAAGATCTAAGACAGGTAACTGGATATGATAGTCTGGAGTTGAGAGAACAGTTCAGATTAGAAACATAAACCTAGACGTCATCATCTAACACGAGTTAGCAAACTAAGGCCCGCAGGCCAAATCCAGCCCTCCGTCTGCTTTTGTAAGTAAAGTTATTGGAACACAGTCATGCCCATTTTTTTACATATTGTCTACGGCTGCTTCCTCTCTACGTCAGCAGAGTTGAGTATTGCAACAAAGACCGTATGTTTGGCAAAACCTAAAAACCTAAAAAATATATATAAAATAAAATATCTGGCCCTTTACAGAAAAAGTGTGTCAAATTCTATCTAGTAGATAGAATTTAAAGCTCTAGATAATAAGATCCCTTAGAGAGTAAAGTGAGCACAAATAAAGACATGGTCTCAAGGACTGTGCCCTGGGACACTCCTACCCTAGAAGTCAAGAAGATGAGGCGAAATCAGCAAATGACAGGGAGAAGAGTAGCCTCAGCAAAGTAGAAGGGACTATCTAGAAAATGTCTCCCGAAAGTTCAATGAAGAAACTATTTCAAGAAGAAAGGGGTGCTAATGCAGCTAATGGGTCAAGTAAAACGAAGACTGAGAATTTATTAGCAAGATGGAAGTCACTGGGAGCACGTCGGGGCATGCAAGCCTTCTAAAAACAGAAGTAGAGAAATTGGAGACAGCAAGCACAGATAACACTTTCAGGGAGTTATACTATAAAAAAACTTGAGGTACGTGTGGACGCAAAATAACCATAACCATTCTATAGACAATAGAGATAAAGTGATCTTTACTTGAGCCAGGGTGTGGATTATAACCTGGGAAGGCAGCTTCCACAAAGGAAGAAAGCATTCCAGAGAAGCACAGCTTTCAGTACAGTCTTATACCTTTTTAGAACAAAGAACATACATTAAACATGCCCAGGATACATAGTCATCAAAGTTTCAAAGAGGTATTCAGTTGCAAATTAGCAAGTCAACATGACCTGGATGTCCAGGAAAGGGAACTTATCTTTAGGAGTACTAACACAGGCGACAGGCGTTACCAATACTGGCCTCCTGGTCTCTGTAGGAAGGGAAGCATCCATTCTTATCTTGAGAGTGCATTCTTTACTTTAATGGTGAAAGCAGATGTACCATGTATGTCTAATGGCCATAAGTCAGGCTTCTTTAGTCCAAGCCGAATCAGTTTCGAACCAGAATAGCTACCCCGTATACCTCAATACGTAAAAATCTCTTGTTAGATAGTAGTTAGAGAGGGATATGGGACCAATAGGTCACACAGCACACCCCAACCCACCCTGCACAGAGCATCCAGTGAGATGAAACAAGTCTGTTCATATAGTAACAGGGAAAATCCACACCAGCTACCCCATCATTCTGTCCTAAATATAAAGAGAAAACCACGGATTACCAAGAACATAATAAGAACAAGCAGCAGGAAAGAGAAATACTAGCCGCAGGAAAACTGAGAAAGCAGATAAATCAGGGAACAGAAAAAGGAATTCAAGAAGATATATTCTTAAATTATGAACAAGCCGCTATAAAAATTGACCAAAAAGGCATTTTTGCAATTACAAACATAATAGCCAAAATAAAACAATCAAAAAAAGGTTTGGAATTGAAATTCAAGAACACAGAATAGAAAAGAAAAAGTTACATAAAAAGTATGAAAGCAAAGATAAAAAGTATGAAAGAAAAGATCTGAGGCATAGAAGACCATCTAAAAGGTCCAACATTCAACTAACAGGAGTCCCAGAAAGAACAGAGAAAATGGAAGGGAAAAAAATTTAGCCAGGAAATATTGGCAGAACTAATGCACACAAATCTTCAAAAAAAGATCCCAAGTGTCCAGCACAATGGCTGGAAAAAGATTCAACTTAGACACCATCTCACAAAGTTTCCAAACATAAAAAACAAAGAAATGATTCTAAAAGCTTCCAGAAACACAAAAATCAAGTCATCTACCACAGAATGCAGGGACAAGCCTTCTCATCAGGAACACTACCTGCTAGAAGACAATAAAGTGATGCATTCAAAGGTGTAAGGAAAAAAACTTTAACCTAGTCTTCTACACCCAGCCAAAGATAAATCAGCCAAATGTGAAAGCAAAATAAAGAAATTCAAGAAACAAAAGCAAAAATAAACAAGTGGGACTACATCATACTAAAAAGCTTCTGCACAGCAAACGAAACCATCGACAAAATGAAAAGGCAACCTACTGAATGAGAGAAAATATCTGCAAATCATATATCTGATAAGGGATTAATATCCAAAATATATAAAGAACTCATACAACTCAATAGCAAGAAACAAACAATCCAACTAAAAAATGACCAGAAGATCTGAATAGAAGATTTTTCCAAAGAAGACACATAGATGGCCAAAAGGTACATGAAAAGACGCTCTACGTCACTAATCATCAGGGAAACGCAAATCAAAACCACAATGAGCTATCACCTCACACCTGTTAGAATGGCTATCATCAAAAAGACAAGAAATAAGTATTGGCATTGTGAATGAAATTTGCTTTTGTTTCTTTCCTCCGATGTGAAGAAAACGGAATCATTGTGCACTGGTGGGAGGAATGTAAATTGGTGCAGCCACAATGGAAAACAGTATGGAAGTTCCTCAAAAAATTAAAAATAGAACTACCATATGATCCAGCGATTCCACTTCTGGTATTTATGCGAAGAAAATGAAAACACTAACTTGAAAGGATATCTGCACCCCCATGTTCATTGCAGCATTATTTACAACAGCAAGCTATGGAAACAACCTAAGTGTCTATCAATGAATGAATGGAAAAAGAAAATGTGGTATACCTATATAATAGAATATTATTCAGCCATTAAAAAAAGAAATCTTGCCATTTTCAACAACATGGATGGACCTCGAGGGCATTATGCTTAGTGAAATAAGTCAGAGAGAGAAAGACAAACACTGTGATCTCACTTATATGTGGAATCTAAAAAAAACAAAGAAAACCAAGCTCATAGATACAGAGAACGGATTGGTGGGGGGGAGGGTAGAGGGTGGGCAAAACAGATGAAGGGGGTCAAAAGGTACAAACTGTCACTTACAAAATAAATAAGTTATGGGGATGTAATGTACAGCATGGTGACGACTGTATAATAATACTATATTGCATATTTGAAAGTTCCTAAGAGAGTAAATCTTAAAACTTCTCATTATAAGAAAAAAAAACTTTTTTTGTAACTATGTAAAGTGACAGATTACCATAGTGACCATTTCACGATGTATACAAAAGAAAGAAAGAAATTCAGATGGCACAGCTTTAAGAAGGCAGGCCATCTAACCCATATCAACTATGATACAGGTAACAATGTTAAGCCACTGAGATTTGAGAAATGTCTGTGTTAACTGACTAATAAAAAGAGTCAATAACTTTTATGTAATCTTGATAAATCTAGAAACACAGCACAAGCAGGTTAAAGAAATAACCATCAGAAGAACTAAAAATAAAAATAGTTAAAAGAGAGGCTCTGGAAAGTACTTTTCATTATGAACCTTCTTTACACCTGGATTTGTTACCATCTCCAAGTATTAATTCAATCTTTTAAAAATTTTTTAAATATCATAAAGAGGCTCTGAATTAGGTCTCTCATGAGTAACATAAAAGGACTTTGTTCTGACTGCTCAGATGCCCTTTCTGCCTTTCCTCTGGTTTCCCACCTCTGCTGCTTAAGATTGAACTTAATAAATAATATGCCACTTTCAACTATGATGTGGACCAAAGTACCTACACTGAAGCACAGAAAACCTAAAATTATTCTACAAAATATCCACAAGGGGGCAGTAGCACCCGCTTTAGTGCTCTGCCAAAAAAATGGACTTTGATTTTTTTAATTCATTTTCATGTTAGCCTTAGAATCCTTTCCTAGAAAGCACTACATAGCCCTGACCTTCATAACAAAGAAGCAGGCAGCATCTAGATACAATTAAAGAATGGAAAGCATCTTTCAGCTAAATATCTGCGGCAGACACAAACAGTATTCAATGTCTACTGTCAACACTTTTAACACTATTAGAAATCAAAACATGGGGCCGGCCCCGTCGCTTAGCGGTTAAGTGCACGTGCTCCGCTGCTGGCGGCCCGGGGTTCGGACCCCGGGCGCACACGGACGCACCGCTTCTCCGGCCATGCTGAGGCCGCGTCCCACATACAGCAACCAGAAGGATGTGCAGCTATGACATACAACTATCTACTGGGGCTTTGGGGGGAAAAAATAAAAATAAATAAAATCTTTAAAAAAAAAAAAAGAAATCAAAATATGTTTCTTTACATAGCTGTGTGAAGTTGTGAAAGTCAGGGCCCATACTGGACACTCCTGCTGCCATTTTCTTTTCACTATTCCCTACCCCTATACCCACAGGAATCAGCAACAGATTCAGAACTCTCTCCATTCTGCTGAAACAAGAAGCAAGCTTCAGAACAAAGACCCCACATGACAGTGACCACCAGATACCACCAAGCAGCTAGAAGTGGGCACAAGAGATAAAACCCACTCACCATCCCAGAAAGGAAAAATGTATGCTGGAAAAGGGAAAAAAAGAAGACTAAAGAAAATTAGAAGACGAATTCAGTTCACCACTAAAGGACACTTTTAGGGATTTTCTGAAAAGATCAGGAAACCCAAGGAAAACCATCATGTAAAGTTCTTACCTTTGCTGTACCAGTCTGGGAACCATAGAAAATCTTTACTCCAGACACAAAGACTTCCTTCTCTTGAAGAGAGAGATCACCATTTGTCATCAAATCCTGAGTTGCTTTTGAAACAGATTTCTCCTGTGAGTTCTTGTCCTTGAGGATAAACGATTGCACAAAATCCATCAAGTTTGAATCTTTTCCCAACTTTGGTAGAGATGAAACTTAGACACTAACTCATTTTATTATTCTCTTAATCTTTCTGGTTGTACTCCTCAAATATAACTCCTTGGTATAATTAGGTCTTTTAAAGGGAGGACCCACATTTCTTAAGACTATAATGATTCTCATTCCCTCCAGGATAAAACTATACATACTTTCATCCATAATGTGTCTTAGTGGAATAACAGAAGGAATCTGTTTTCTGATTCTTAATTAGTGGAAAGAAAAGAGAAGACTACTATCCTTTAAAGGTGCTAAACAGATTTTTTTTTAATGAAAGTTTAATTTTTCATTACAAATCTTCCTATATCTTAAAAATGAGATATTCAGGGCCCATCAAAGAAAAGGTAAGTAACTTAGTTCATAATAACTTAGTCTCTAAAAACTGAAAAGAAATTTTTTTAGGCATTAAGAAAATGTCTAGAGAACAAACATAAAAGTGATTTTAAGTTCCTTTTAGCTTTTCTGTATTTTTCTGAAATTCTTAGAAAATCCGTACTATGAATTCTCTATAAAATATGATGTCTAAATACTCTCTATAAAAAATAACTCCACTTACCTGCCTCCTGATGACAATCTGGAAACAAATCCAAAGGCTAAAGCCAAAAGCAAAGCCCAAATATACGTAAAACCTGTTTATCCACAATGATATTAAAGGTGAGAAGTCCCATGTATCCAAAGAAGGATCTAAATTTGAAAAGATACATAAATGTAATTTTATTTAAAGCTATATATACAAAGATGTCCATCCCTATTTTAAGAATAAAAAAAAAAGACCTTTATATTCAATAACCTGGATAAGAAATCTATCAATAATCAACTCTAATAAAAAATATATACTATGTGGTAACGTGATAAAAATACCATAATGATAATGCGACCTCAAAAAAAAGCAGCCCCGTGGCCTAGAAGTTAAGTTCTGCGCCTTCTGCTTCAGCGGCCTGGGGTTCGGTTCAGGTGCTGTCCTACACTACTGTCTGTCAGTGGCCATGCTGTGGTGGCGGCTCACATACAAAAAAAAAAAAAAAAGGAAGATTGGCAGCGGATGTTAGCTCAGGGCAAATCCTCCTCAGCAGAAAAAAGAAAATAAAATTGTACCTTCATTTGGATATACCATTTGGAAGAAAGAGAAAGGAACAAAGTCAAAACATCTTATGTGGAACTATGAGTTAATTTTGGTTTGTTATGCTTGCTCCGTACAGAAAAACCTTTAAAAAGTACTTAAAAGTATTCCCTTTCTTCTAATTGTATTTTTAATACAATACTAATTGTATTTTTAATACAATACGGCTATTTGTAAAGGGTTCTCAAATAACTGACCTCATGCCCCATCTTTTGGAAGCACATATAGATGGACCTGGCCTCAAATGTTGAACCTGGGGGCAATTTCAAAAGGCGAACAGTAAAACTGGGGGTTTAACGGTGCTGCTCCACCCTGGAAAGGACCAAAAGCTCTCAACACACGTGGGTAAGTGTCGGGGGGCAGTTCTCTCCGCTTTTTGAGCTTAGAAGCATAGTTCCTTCTACACTCACCCTCTAGCCTCAAAAGGCAAAAGCCAAATCAAAAGCAGAGGTCAGTCCTCCCTTGCCCCCAGCGGCAGCCGTCGGAGGCTGACAAGTGCAACTGAAGGAAGGGTCCCGAGGACGCCACTCCGTCGGGATAGGGTCTCAGACAAACGGTTTCCTCCCCTCCCGACCCACGAATTTTGCCGGCCGGCGCCCTTACCCATTCTCCTCAGAGCCCTGGCCCTGTAGACCGACAGGAGACTAGGACCGCAGACCTGAAAAACCTGGCGGCCGCCGCGGGTACCGGGACACCCCCAGAACTACCTGGCAGCATTGGCTGTACACCCAGACACCGCAGAGCTGAGGGCAGCCATGCCGCTCGCAGGCCCGTCCGGATTGGCTCAGAGGAGGAAGGGGCGGGCCCAATGGGGAGCCCCGCCCAGAGCCCCCGGCGAGGGCGCCGGAGCGCTCCCGGTCCCGCTCCGATTGGCTCAGAGGGGGAAAGGGCGGGCCCACAGGGTAGCACCAACCAGAGCTCCGGGCGAGCACGCCGGAGCGCTCCCGGTCCCGCTCCGATTGGCTCAGAGGAGGAAGGGGCGGGTCCGTCAGGACACGAGTGGCATAGGGAAAAAAAGGGGCAAGAAGTAGGGGTAGCTAAGAGACGAAGGCATCATCAACCGAATGCCATCTGTGGGCCCGTTTGGATCTCTGTTGAAACACATCGACTGTAAAAAGGCATTATGTAGGGAAAATTTGATTATGGACTGGTTATTAGATATTAAGGAATTATGGTTCATCATGTTGGGTGTCTCTGTTAGGAGTATAGACTGAAGTATTTAAAGCTCAAACCTTAACGATGATTTGCTTTAAAATACTCCAACAAACAAAAGAGGGAGAAGGAAACAAGTATTGCAGAAGGCTGATAGTTACTGAATCGGGGTGATAGGCACATGAGCGTTCATTACACGTTTTTCTCTACGTTTTTTATGTTAAAAATTTTCCAGAATAAAAATTAAACTGTGTGTGGCCCTGAACTCTGCGGAACTATGAGACGCCGGCGTTGTGTTTCCACTGGCTCAGCAAACATCAGCTTTTTCACCCAATGACAGCTCTGTAGCTCATTGGCTAAAGTAAATTACGTCAGGACGAGTGCCTCTCTTTTCGGCAGGAAGGATATCGTAAAAACCACAGTGCGCAGGCGTTGTTGCTCACTTTTCCTCGCCTGGCGTTCGCAGCACCTGGCGCCTGCGCAATAAGTTAACCCGAGCGTACTGTGGCAGGCGGCCCGGCTGAGTGAGTCGCGGGGTCGCGCACTCTGCGGGCGTTGCTGCGCCGCGCGCCGCCGGGTCGTTACAGCGAGAGGCAGGCGGCCCTCAGGCCGGCGGCGCGGGTCTACCTTGGTTCGGCGGACCCAAGGTCTGTGAGCAGCCGCCATGTCGATCTTCACCCCCACCAACCAGATCCGCCTAACCAATGTGGCCGTGGTGCGGATGAAGCGCGCCGGGAAGCGCTTCGAAATCGCCTGCTACAAAAACAAGGTCGTCGGCTGGCGGAGCGGCGTGTGAGTGACCCTCACCCTCCCGGCCCTGGCCGGAGCTGGGAGCCTCCGAGGTGTCCTTCCTCTGGTCGTCGAGTGAATGGGCCAGCCTAGGGTCTTGTCAGGGAAGGAAATGGAAAATGTAGTCTTGCTGTGAGCCTGAGACTGTCCTTGCTGAGCTTAGCGCCTAAACCAAGCGTTCTTTTTTCGTTTAGTTGGTTTGGTTTGGGTTGCTGGTTTGGGGTTTGGTTTTGCTTTGTTGGTGTCATAAAAGTTACAACCAAGCAACCCCCACAATTATGGTCTTTTTGCCAGAATAACGATACAGGCAAAGGGCCTAGTCTTCCAAATACTTCCATAGAGTACCTCTGATATTGCAGATCTTAGCGCAGTTTCAGCCAAGTGCGTAGTGTCTTCACTGCTGCCACCTAGGGGCGGTGTTCCGTGGCAGCAGCCCGACCCCACCCCGCCCCCTGTTTCAAACCTTCTCCCACGAGGTTTTTCTCCAGTGAGTAAAAGCGAATACAAATGCGGTTCTGAGTTTTGGAAATGTTCCCTCGGCACTGGGGGTCATTTAGAAGTATTGGTTGTTTCTTAGGATTTATATTGTTGCCATCTTGTTTTTAAATGTGAATGAATTCCGAACTTTCAAGTGTATTCACTTAGGACTTTCTTTCTTGCCCTCACAAGGGAAAAAGACCTTGATGAAGTTCTACAGACCCACTCAGTATTTGTAAATGTTTCTAAAGGTCAGGTTGCAAAGAAGGAAGATCTCATCAGTGCCTTTGGAACAGATGACCAGACTGAAATCTGTAAGCAGGTGGGTTCTAACAGCCGCAGCATAATGGCTGCATACAAACTACCATTTGTAGTCTAAGTACTTATATGTATGTTACACTTTAAAATATTATTTTTGGGAGTGAACCATTACCACTTATATGTATGTTACACTTTAAAATATTATTTTTGGGAGTGAACCATTACCATTGATCTGCACAACATGACTCTTTTTTTTTCTTTTAGGTGAGGAAGATTGGCCCTGAGATAACATCTATTTCCAATCTTCCTCTTTTTGCTTGAGGAAGATTGGCTCTGAGCTGATATCTGTGCCCATCTTCCTCTATTGTGTATGTGGGTCCCCAGCACAGCATGGCCGCTGTCAAGTGGTGTAGGTCCGCACCAGGAACAGACCTGGGCTGGTGAAGCGGAGAGCACCAGAACTTAATCACTACACCACCGGGCTGGTCCCACAACATCACTTTTTAATAATTCAGGATGTGGATATTTTTTGCCAGAGACTTCAGAAATTAAATTTTCTACTAAATTGCCTTATTTTGGCCATTCGTGTATCTTTAGTGTAATATACCTGATAATAGAATTTCTATTTAAGTATTTCATCATTTACACCCTTTGCTAAGATTGCTTTTTCCCCTTCCCCCACCTAAATAAGTGACATTTTGGAGCACAAGATAATCCAGTGCATCCTTTAGGCAAAGCTCAAACATTACCTACATATTAGTAGCTGGAGAGGGTGAAATTTAATTTTCTCCTCAGTTATTAATTCTTCTGGTTCATTAACAAATAGTGTGTAATAAAGACATCGCTTTCTTAAATTTGTTGGGTTTTTTTAGATTTTGACTAAAGGAGAGGTTCAAGTATCAGATAAAGAGCGGCAGACACAGCTGGAGCAGATGTTTAGGGATATTGCAACTATTGTAGCTGACAAATGTGTAAACCCTGAAACAAAGAGACCATACACGGTTATCCTTATTGAGAGAGCCATGAAGGACATCCACTATTCAGTCAAAACCAACAAGAGTACAAAACAGCAGGTGAGTGGTCTTTACGGTCATCAAAAAGTATCTATGAAAACTAGTTTTCTATGAAGAAAACATTAAAATAGGCTGTAATAATAAAATGATACTACTTGGAAGCAAGTGGATAGGAGGTTTTGGGGAGATGGGTGGGAAAGGATGGGGGTTGTAGAAAGGAGTAACGGAGTTCTTTTAACTAAACACAAGTATACTAGGACTCTCATCTTCCTATCCAAAGCAAACCTTTAAAGATAAAACTTGGGTTTTTAAAGAGTCATTTTCATTCTGAATTTCAGATTTTTTTAAATTTATATATAATTCACATACCATAAAAGTCACCCTTTTTAAAGTGTACAGTTTGGTGTACATATTCACGAAGTTTTTGCAACCTTCCCTACTACCTACTTTGAGAACATTTTCATCACCCGGAAGAGAAACCTTGTACCCCTCAGCAATCACTCCTCATCCCCCCATCACAAGGCCTGGGCAACCACAAATTTGCTGTTTCCATGGACTTGTCTATTCTGGACATTTCAGATAAATGGAATGATACGGTATGTTGCCCTTTCAAGGTTCATCCGTGTTGTAGCATGTGTCAGTAATTCATGACTTTTTAGGATTGAATAATAACCCATTGTACATATGTTTCCATTTCTCTATACCCAGGAATTGCTAGGTCATACAGTAACTATATTTAACTTTTTGAGGAAGGGCCAAACCATTTTCCAAGATATCTGCACTATTTTACGTTCCCACAATCAGGGTACAAGGATTCCAATTTCTCCACATCCTTGACAATATTTGTTGTTGTCTGCCTTTTTGATTATAGCCGTCCTGGGGAAGTCATTCTGATTTTGATTTGCATTTCACTAATGACTAATGATTTGAGCATCTTTTCATGTGCTTATTGACCGTTTGTCTTCTTTGGAGAAATCACTGTTCAGATCCTTTTACTATTTTTTAATTGATTATTTGTCTCTTCATTATTGAGTTGTAAGAGTTGTTTTTTTTTAATTTTATTTATTTATTTTTTTCCCCCAAAACCCCAGTAGATAGTTGTATGTCATAGCTGCACATCCTTCTAGTTGCTGTACGTGGGACACGGCCTCAGCATGGCCAGAGAAGCGGTGTGTCGGTGTGTGCCCAGGATCCGAACCTGGGCGTCAGCAGCGGAGCGCGCGCACTTAACCACTAAGCCACAGGGCCGGCCCATATAAGAGTTCTTTATATGTTCTGGTACTAGTACCTTATCAAATGTGTGATTTGCCAATATTTTCTCCTATTTTAGGAGTTGTGTTTTCACTTTCTTGATAGTTTTTTGAAGCACAAAAATTTTTAATCCAAGTCCAGTTTGTCTATTTTTTTCTATGGTTGCTTATGTTCTTCATGTCATATCTAAGAAACTATTGCCTAGTCCAGCTAGATGGAAACTGCTTTGTTTTGAGTGTCTTACGAAATAAGTCATCAGAAGAAGCAAAGAAACTGCAAACGTTTTCAATTTTGTCTTGCTAGGCTTTGGAAGTGATAAAGCAGTTAAAGGAGAAAATGAAGATAGAACGTGCTCACATGAGACTTCGGTTCATTCTTCCAGTGAATGAAGGGAAGAAGCTGAAAGAAAAGCTCAAACCACTGATTAAGGTTATAGAAAGTGAAGACTACAGTCAACAGTTAGAAATTGTAAGATTAAATATTTTTATTTCTTTGCTTCCATGTTATCAAAATGGTGTATTATTCATGTCTTGTCTTCAGGGCTTTACAGCTTCTTAACAAATAAATGAGCTTTAGGGGGTTGTTGAACGTTCCACTCTACTGTGAAACAATACTTCTGACACTCTTTGAAGTTCTAAAATCTTTTCAAAACTTTTCCCATGGTTTCTGAATAGGCCTTCAAGCTTCTTTTTTTCCTTCAACTGTGGATAAAAAGAGGTGATTTCATTGAACTATAAATT